TTTAGGATTGGCATAAAAGAAAGTACAATCTGAAGGAAAGTATTGCTTGAAATGCAGTCCTTTCTACATTTTTCATTTTTATTACAATATGGATAATTTGGATATTTCCTATTTTTCTAAAACATGGAGAAGAACACTGTTACGTTGTATATAAAACTTTAGTAACAGAAGCAGAAGTACTGACACTGAAGTCTAAACCAATATAATTCATTTAATTTCTTTTAGGTTTCCTCCTTCCTAATGTATGAGTAAACTAAGGAAAGATCAGTCTTTTTATTTGGAAAAACTAAGTGGAGTGCAACAAGCAAAATTAATCACCTAATTTTACCTTAGTAAGTTCTACAAACACCGATCCTATGTCCCTTGGAAGCAAAAATATCTGATCCATTCAAAAACCTTCCTTTGCCTGCTGGTCTTGACACAATGATGTGTAAAAACTGTCATCGTTGATTTAAACTTTAAGTAGAAGTTTAACTTAACTTGATTCTCCTGATTTCTATGCTGTCTTTGAAAAGGAGGTTAGTGCTCCTCACAACTTACTTTAAGCTGGGCCAGAAAGGAAATGAAGAAAAGATAAAGAAGTTTTTGAGTCAAGTCTGTGCCCACAGACTCAAGTGATAAGTTATTGTGATTGTTTGGTAAGAAGAAAATACTTTGCTCTTCTCTTCTTTCAGCAATCTTTTTTTTTTAATTCCCAGTCTACTCTACAAATAGGATTTGTCTGGTCATCTCCAATTCAAATATTTATTAGATCAGACATTGCTTAGCTGGACATATAATGAGTAAGTTGTCATCACACATTCTGAAGATGAGATCTTAAGCTAGGAGACACACACACATGCGCACGCACACATACACACAGCTTAATAAATCCTGAGTTTACAAAAATTCATGATACTTGGTTTACTGAGTGAACTGTCTTCATGCTGTCTTCATGATGAAGAACTAGTAAAACTATTAACTACATGCATCATAAAGTAGTGTATTTCAGTTTGCTTAAGTCTACAGAATGAAAAATTGATGGAATGTCTAACCTACCATTTTGATCTGAGATCTTCCCTTCTGGGCACGGAAGACAGTCATAGCAACAAAATTGTTTTCCTTCAGCACCTTTCTTCCAGGATCCAGGGGAACAATGGTCATTACACAATGAAAGTGGAAGAACCTAGTCACAAACATGCAAGGTTTTGCAAGGAGGATTTGTAAAAGTATTTTAATTTTTCTCCATTATGGGGGGAAGGAATTCTTGACTTCCCAAAAGGGTTAATGAATTATATCTAGTTAGATTTATACTATACATTAAAAGATGTTGAAATTGCAAGGATGTGCTAGAAGAACATCAGAGTGAGTAAATAAATGTGCATTATGACAATGTTATGAAACTGTGCAACTGAGATGATTTCAAATGGAATTGCAACCCAAATATGAAAATCTCACTTTTATATTGTAATGTAATTTTGTCAATTTGATAAAAGCTTAATCATGGACAACGTTTGTACATCATATGCCCTTTTTTTGTCTCAAAAACAGAAATTGGATTTGTGAAAACACCATGTTCAGTATGGTTTAACAGAAAAATACATCTTCATGGGATCATAATGGATCAATGTATAGCCCGTTCAATGAGTCCATACCTGGTTAAAAGCTGGGTGCCAGACAATCAAATCTTCATCAATAACTAATTCTTTCCCTTTTGGAGCACTGGGATTTAACTCTCCAACTCTAACTCTCTGAAAGGATCTGTTTGGAAAAGTGAGCATGTTGACAATGTCAAAGCCACCACTACCTTCCCTTTTGTCTTTAAAGAAGACTTTTTCTCCAGCTGAGTTGTTAAAAGAAACCCCTTGAAGAAACTTGTGGAGCTATTTGAAACAGGATAAGAAAGAGGGAGTCAAAAAGAAAATATGCATCAGGGATCAAAGATTTAAACTTTTCTTTTACTCTTACTTCCTGAGACACAAAATAATATCCCTTGGCTTGAAGAAAATGCTGAAAACTATTAGAAAACTATCAGTAATAGAGATATGCACTTACACTACTCACTTTCTTGCTTTACTATCTATACTGATATGGGGCCGTAGGCAAACAAATCCTGTTAAGACATTGATGGAAATTTACTGAATTTACTGAAAGAAATGACAGGTACAGCATGGAGAGATTACCTCTCAATGGTTGGTTGAAGTTACCTGTTCAATGACTCAGAGTTAAAACCATGAATCTAAAAGGCTGAATTATCCTAAATGGAGTAGCATGATTGAAGTCCCACCTATTTTTTGCATATATGAACAGGGTTCTGAAAAGTATTAAAGAGATGTCTAGAGCACTGCTGGAGGAAAACAAGGACTGAATCCAACCGAACACAGGCTAGAGCTGCTATTAAGGCCTACCTTGTGGCGGTAAGAGTGGCAGAACGCCAACATTTCTCCGCTCTTATTGCAACCGCAGAATGCCACCTAGCAGCCCTGTTTAAGATCACCCGATCTCTTCTGGGAAAGTTGGGCCCAGTGACCCACCTATAGGGTCATGGAGAGGAGTTTTCTGGGCATCTGGAGGATAAGATTTCTTGGATACATTCCCAGTTCGATACCAAGCATGTGGCATGGCCTGTGGAGATGCCTGGGGTACGTACGTACCCTGTTATCTGGGAACAATTTGAACCTGTTGGACCTGTGGAAGTGGTCCTCTGGGCTGCAAATGCCACCACTTATCAGTTAGATCCATGCCCCTCCTGGCTGGTTAAGGCAGCTCAGGAGGTGATGTATGGGTGGGTCCAGGTGATGGTGAATTCATCCTTGAGAGAGGGAGTGTTTACAGCAGCGTTTAAGGAGGCACTGGTACACTCCCTCCTCCAGAAACCATCACTGGATCCCACCGTACTGGACAATTTTCATCCAGTCTCCCACCTTCCCTTTTTAGGGAAGGTGGTTGAGAAGGTGGTGGCATTGCAGCTTCAGAGGATCCTGGATGAAACAGTTTATCTGGACCCTTTTCAGTCAGGTTCCAGGCCTGGATTTAGGACTGAAACACCATTGGTTGCACTTTTGGATTTTCTCTGGCGGGAGTGGGAAGGGGGTAGGGCATCCATCCTTGCTCTTCTTGACCTCTCAGTGGCTTTCGATACCTTCGACCATGGTGTCCTTTTGGGTCAGCTTGGGGAGTTGGGGGCAGGTGGCACAGTTTTGTGCTGGTTCACCTCCTTCCTCCAAGGCTGGTCCCAATCGGTGCTGATAGGGAGCGAGAGGTCCAGCCCACGGACCCTCCTTTGTGGGGTGCCACAGGGTTCAGTACTTTCCCTGCTCCTTTTGAACATCTACATGAAACCACTGGGTGAGATCATCTGCCACCATGGGATGAGGTATCATCAATATGCTGGTGATACCCAGTTATACATCTCCATCCCAGGTGATTTGAGTGATGCTGTGGCTACACTTTCGCGGTGCTTGGAGGCTGTGGGGGTCTGGATGGGGAACAACAGGCTTCAGCTGAACCCTGGTAAGACGGAGTGGCTATGGGTTGGGGGCTCCTCTGAATCCAGAGGTTTACCATCTTTGGTTCTGGATGGGGTTGAGCTACCCCAGACAGACCCAGTGCGTAATTTGGAGTCTTCCTGGACTCAAGACTCTTGCTCAAAGAGCAGGTGGTAGTTGTGGCCAGGAGGGCCTTTGCTCAACTTTCTTGGATCAGGAGTCCCTCCAGTCAGTCACTCGTGTCCTAGTCATCTCCCGTATAGACTATTACAACACTCTCTAATGAGGCTACCCTTGAAAAGTATCTGGAAGCTTAAGCTGGCTCAAAATGCAGCCATCTGGGCAATTTTAGGTGCCCCAAAGATGGCATATGTTAAACCTTTGCTGTGTGAGCTACACTGGGTCCCAGTTAGCTTCTGGGTCCAATTCAAGGTGTTGGTTATTACCTTTAAAGCCCTACATGGCATGGGACTGGGTTACCTGAGGGACCATCTCACCACCATTATATTGACCCATTCCACCCAGTCAGGCAGAGAGGGTATGCTGCAGACCCCATCGATGAAAGAATGTTGACTGGTGGGGTCCAGAAAGAGAGCCTTCTCTACCATGGGCCTGACCTATGGAATACTCTCCCCCCAGAGGTAAGGCAGGCCCCAGCTCTCTTGTCCTTCTGGAAAGCAGTCAAGACCTGGCTCTGGCAACTGGCATGGGGCGAAAAAAGGGGCAACCAACCCTGGGGGTGGCTAGTACCTTGAAGATATTCCCATATGTTAACATCTTATCCATTACCAGCATCTTGGAATATATTATTACTTGTCTATGTGCTTGGTTTTACTGTATTTTTATACTGTTTTTATTGTATTTTAATTAATATATATTTGCTGTCTTATTGTGAACCACCCAGAGTCAGTTCCTCGTGATATGGGCGGTATCTAAATCCAAAATATATATATATAAATAAATAAATAAATAAATAAATAAATATGAAAAGGACGGGGCTTCAATTGCATCACCACAATCATCATTTTGATCCTTTTGACCCCCTACTGCCAATGCCATTGAATTTCACTATACTTCAGTCAAGCTGGGGTATTTTATCCAATCTTTGCCCATACTGGCCTTTGGCATTGGAGAGTAAGGAGCCTCTGCCCCACTTGCTGAAAAAAATGATTTGGTGTGTACACGAAGCCAAGCTTCTCATCTTCTTCAGACTGAGACAATTTGTTATTTTATTTCCCATGGATGTTGTATATCACCCTCCTCCCTTAACTCAGTTTCCTGTTCAATTCCAAAAACTACTGACAAGAAATCACAAGGATGGACTGGCAGCAAAGTGATGTACACATCTAGCATGACCTGAAGGGGACTTGGATTCCCAGTTGAAACTCTGTGGGAAGCCATAACTGTAACTTAAAAAAATTATCTGCCCTGAGAACTTGCCCAAGTAGAAAGACAGAAAATAAATCAAATAAATAAATAGAAAAAATAAATCCCGAGTTAATAACCATATAATAACAGAAAGGCATAACAACTTTATTTTTTTCTCCTAATTAATTGCTCTCTGTCATTCAAATGAGGTTTCAGCACAATGATGTAGCATTTAGGAAAAAAGATGCATGCCAGTAACCCAGCACTGGAGGTCAAAATAGAGAAGACCTCCACAGCCACCATGTCTTTCCCCTTGGAGCTCAAGTAGGTTGGAACAAAGGATATCCAAACACTGCAGAACACTAACATGCTGAAGGTGATGAACTTGGCTTCATTGAAACTGTCAGGTAATTTTCGAGCATGGAAGGCCACAATGAAACTGGCAATGGCCAAGAGGCCCATGTAGCCCAGGACAAGATAGAACATGGTGGGAGACCCTTCATTACACTGCACAATGGTTTCCTCAATTACCAAGTGCATATCTAAATCAGGGAATGGGGGAGAGGTTGCTAACCACATCAGACAAATGCCTATTTGAATGACAGAGCAGGAAATGACAATGGAAAAGGCCAATTTTTTCCCTATCCATTTCTTTGCGGTTGACCTGGGTTTTGTGGCCATGAAGGCAAGAGAGACGAGGGTGGTTTTGGCTAACACACAGGAAATAGCCCCAGAGAAGACAATCCCAAAAGCTGGTTGCCGGAGAAGGCAGGTGCCTTTCCTTGGTTGGCCAAGGAACATCAGAGGACAGAGGAAACAGAAAAGAAGTGAGATAAGGAGAGTGTAAGTGAGGTCCCGGTTGTTGGCTTTAACAATGGGAGTATCTCTTTGCTTTATGAAAATTCCTAACACTGCAGCATTGATGAGGGACAAGAAAAGTGCAAGGGAAGTGAAAGTGATGCCTAAAGCTTCTTCATATGAGAGAAAGTTTCTTCTTTTGGGAAGACATCGATCTTGCTCCTTGCTTGGGTATTCTTCTTCTGAGCATTTAAAACAGTCATTCATATCTGGTAACAATGGTGAAAAAAGAAAATTCAGATTCTTATCATTTCAACTGTTTTACAAAAAACAAAAGGCCATTCTTGGCACTTCCATGATGGCAACATTTTCTTTTGTTCTCATCCTACATATCAGATATGGTGATTTTAGAAGACATGTAGGAAATCTTTAGATATCCTTTGAGATAGGTGTCATTCTGAAATGCAAAACCAGCCAATTCTTTATCTTCTGTCAACACTGAAATTTATTTTAATATGATAGAAAAATGAAAGTCCCTACCTTTCTGGTTTGAGATCTTCCCTTCTGGGCAGGGAACACAATCATAGCAACAAAATTTTTCTCCTTCCCTCCCTTTTTTCTGATTTCCCCGATAGCAATGTTCATTACACACAGAAAGGGGCAGGACCTATCCAGAAAGAAGAAAAACATTTAGTATGGAAGATTAAAGCAATAAATGTATCTTTGATATGTAGAAATTGAGCCCACAATCCTTTATAGAAAAATAATTAACGGCTGCTTTCTGAAGATGTAATTAAGACACTAATCAACCATTTTTATTTTTCATTGATTTTAGAAATTATGAAATCATAATTTATGGAATTACAAAACTATAAGCATTTTTCCTAAACCAAAATGAGCCACATAGAACATGATAAAAACAGTCCTACTGTACATCAGATCCATGGAGAGGCGGGTAAGTTCTGTGGATTTCATGCCCAGCCTTTTTTGTAATCCAGTGGCCAGGTGAATCCATTTGGAGAAGCTCACCTGCCTGGGAAATCCACAAGAGTAACTTTCCACTCCTACTTCCTAATAACCACTCCTGAAGGTCTGATTCCTAAGATTCAGGAGATAGCTAACAGCCATATAATAGTAGTTGTCCATGGTGACCTTATCCTACATGAACCCCTCTGGTCCCTTTTGAAAGCATCCATAATGGTTGCAAGGTACGGGTAGTCAGCTGACATCAGGATTAATACCCATATCAACCTGGTCTATCCTCTTGTTAAAGAAGTATTTTCTTCTGCTGCTCCATTAATAATTCTGAATGTTCTTTCAGTGGACGATCTCAAATTCTAACCTAGTGAATGAGGAGAAAATAAACTTCTCTCTCCCCATACTAGCTGGGCCATGCATGATGTTTGCTCAACTTTTTCCCAAGCAGAGGACTGTCAATTGTTACAGGGTTCTCTCTCTCTCTCTCTCTCTCTCTCTCTCTCTTTCTCTCTGAGTTGCTGCAGAATTCTGGTCCTTTAATCTGCCCAATATTGGAAATTTTCTTATCTAGAGTATCATTTTAAGGGGCACTGACCAGAACTATGTACCATATTCCCTGGATAATTGTCAGCCCTAGCCCAAGGAACTCCAAGAGACCATGTAAATTCAGTCCAGCAATGTTTATTAGCTAC